TCTGTATATGTATAATAATATTTACACAGTATGTATGTATGCTTGTATGTATGTATATGTATATGTATATGTATATGTATATGTATATGTATATGTATATGTATATGTATATGTATATGTATCTGTATGTGTATCTGTATGTGTATGTGTATGTGTATGTGCATGTGTATGTGTATGTGTCGGTGTATGTGTATATGTATGTATGTATGTATGTATGTATGTATGTAAGAAGTTATATATATATATAGAGATGTATGTATGCTCTGTACATATGTGTAGATATATATATATATATATGCATGTACATATACATATATGTATATATACACATGTATGTATATTAGAAATACTTACATACATGTGGGTTCCGAGAGGGTTATGGCACAGAAGCTGGGGTGTTACTGGGTCCTGCGACGATCTCGAGGCAAACCATGAGCCGGGCCGCCAATATTTTTGGAAGGTGCCCTTGACGAACATTCGAGCATAAGTCTTGCAAACAGCTCTCGTAGGTCGCCTGAGTTCAGTGCAAACGAGCATACATCCTTGCATGCAACCTCAATCATGGGGCACTACAGTAGCTCAAACCATGTTGCGACCATGTGATCCCGTGTGCTCTTTCCCTCTCTTGCAGGCAGCGATACGATTCTTCGTGTGCATCTTCGCCAGGCGGGCTTGTAGTGCTGGGTCGAAGGCCACAATCGCCCGGGAGTTGGACAGGATCCTGAGTTTTTTCGGAGACACACCTCCCCAGCTGGCGACCCAAAACCGCACTCGAAACATCTTCGTTGGCACGGCAAATACTTTCCAGCGAGGGTGTTCGTGTAGCTTCGCCGGCGATTCCACCGTCCACGTGAATCCCAAAGCCTGGGCCAGGAATAATACCAAAGCCAGCCTGAGATAACAGTTTTGGAGGGCAAGCATGCATCGACAAAACCCGTGGGCGACATGGGCTAAGATAGTGCAGACAGGTTGCCGGTCGGCCATTCGAGGCCCATAGATCGATCTTGCATGGATAATACTACCAGGCTTCATCTTCAGGACGATAGCCAACATCATCCTCAGCCATTGCCCGATGGGTCTGGGTGGCTACACGACAGCAGCGACAAACTCGTAGTAGTGCAAGCAAGACACATGAAGTCGGTAGGCTCAGGGCCCCATAGAACCCTCACTGCCTTAACATGTTTTTCTTTAAGGGCTGTGGTCACCATTGGCTCCAGATCATTGGAAAACTCGACAGCCTCATAGACCTGGATTGCAGGGAAGAGTCGCTGTTGTACACGGCAGACACACTCGAGCATGAGCACATATAAGCCGACAAGCCCTGCCTGCGTGAAATCAAGAGGCATGTTGGCAACGATCGCGAAGACCATCACAAGTATCTGAAGTAATCCAGCATCAGACACATGCAGCACACACTTCTCTGAAGTTAAGCCCCATAGGCCCATAGATGCAAGCTAGAAGCGACCGGAGCTTCTGCATCCTGCAGGATCTTCAAGATGATATCTCGTCGCTTCGCACACAGCATGGCATCCGAGGCTGGGCACTCCGAGCAAAAATGCTGCTTTGTAGCACGAAACAGAGCAGGGCAGCAACCGAGCTGATGCGTGCAGACTGTGTGCTCTAGACCCCACACACATAGTCCCACTAAAAGCCTATAGACCCAAATCCCACATAAAACCAGACCCAAACCCTATGTAACATATATAAACCCCAAACCCTATCGGAACCCGAACCCTATGTAGCCCCAACCCTAGACAAACTCGAAGCCTCTA